AGGCGACCCCTGTGAAGGGGTCAAGACCCACAGGTTGAGAACCGCTGCTTTAAACGCTAAGGAAACAGCGTTTTGTATGAGGTGGCCTTTGCCTCATACAGAATGGAAGTACTATGGAATCATTACGGTAATCCGATAAATGGGTTTCTAGGAATAAAGAGGCTAGTCCTGGGCTGGGATATTAACACGCACTTCCCCAGGAGGCCATAGTGGGAACGTGGGGAATGCTCCGCTTTCCATCTGGTCCTGGACTCTGCCACTTGCAAAAGCTTTGTACTGCGGCCAAGTACCACTCCCTGTGCTTCAGTTTGTTCCTCTATACCACGGGGATCCTTAAAGAACCTGCCGGCCAGGGCAGGGTGGGCAAGGCTTGAGAACTCAAGAAGGGGGGAGGGGGGCATATAGACTGTGAACGAGGACAACCAACATTCAGAAGGCAGGAAAAGAGGATGAACGAAAATGGGGAAGTGGGAGAAGAGACTTTATGACATTGTGAGCGTTTCAGTGGCTTAGCCCTCAGAAGTGGACAGCCTCTGCCTTCTTCTCAGTCGGCTCTAGTCTGAAACCTGTCCACCATGGGCGACAAAGCTGGTATTTGAAATATGGGTGCTACAGCTTCTAGCATCACAGCCCCCTCAGCACGAGAAACTGACCAACAGACTGGGCCCCACAGAGAGAAAGCCACGCGCCTGTCCTTGGCCAGTGCCCTGGGCCCTGGGCTCGAGAAGGACCCTGATGCATTCCAGGGGGATCGGGACACAGGGGCCCAAAAGTCGGAGCCCAGCGCAGGGTCAGGCAGAGAGAAGACAGGCGCCCAGGGGAGTCCTGGCTCCTCCTGCCACGTGGCCATGAGGTACCCAGTGGCCTTCTCAGAAAGGGGCCTGTGGGCCTTGTGGGGGTTCTCATACCTCTGACAGCTATGGCAGCAAAAGAGGGCACGGGAGCGTGAGACGAAGGTCACGTTTATTGAAAACCTACTATGCGCCCGGTGATACTTCCATTACTTCTGGGCAGTGAGTTCCAGCTGGAGAAGCAGTGCGCGCTGTGACGGGGATGTGGGGACATGGTGAGCACGCAGGAAATGCTCCCAAGAACACGCAGGAGAGTACGCGAAGTGGCCGCGTGACCCTCACAGAACCTGTGGTTATGTTCCCGTGGCACAGAAGGGAACACTGAGATTTGGAGCTGTTGGGGGACCTGCGCGGGGGCCAAGGAGCCTGCAGGGAATGAAGCGAGGATTTGAATCCAAGATTCTGCTCTGACCTGCGGAGGGCAGCAGGGTGGCAGGTGGGAGGGAGTGAGGGAGTGCCTAAGAAGGGAACAGGGAGATTTTCACACAGATGAGAGACAAAAGGATACAAAGAGGGGCTTGCTAGCAGACGGGGAGAAGGGAGAGGAGGTGTGTGGGCGAGAAGGGGGGCTCCGGGGGAAGAAGCGCCATCTGTTGTAATGATACTATTTTGGGTCTAGAAGTTATCATCGTCGTGCGCCGTGGAGTTGATCCCGATTCATAGCGACCCTGTAAGGCAGTGAAGAAATGTCCCACAAGGTTTCCCGTCTTTATAGGTGGAGACCTAGTGGCACAGTGGTTACAATATTTGGCTGTTCATCGAAACAAACGTCAGCGATTCAAACCCACCAGGTGCTCTGCGGGAGGAAGATGTGGCAGCCAGCTTCCGCAGGGATTACACCTTGGGAAGCCCAAGAGGCAGTTCTGCTGTCTGTCCTGCAGGGTCTCAATGAGTGGAAATGGTCTCGGGGGCAGCGAGCAAACAGAATGGAAGCAAACTGCCACATCTTTCTCCCACAGACCAGCCGGTGGGTTTGAACCACCAACCTTTGGCTGCCCAGTGCTTAAGCATTGTGCTGTCAGAACTGCAAGAGTCAGAATCAATCCACAGCAGCAGGGTTTGTTCGAGGGCTTCTCTCTGTGGGAGTGGATTGTCAGGTCCCTTCTCTGTCCTTCCTCACCCCACTCTCCCCTCCAGGACCCTCTGGTGGGTTTGAACTGCACGCACTGATGAAAATCAGTGGACTGGAAGCAGATGTAGCATCTTATTTCACCCACAGTTCCCCAGTCAGCAAATCCAGTAGGCATGCTGTTGGTTTACTGTGTAGAATTTTTGCATTTCTTTCCATTAGTGAAGAGCGCAACATATTAAAACACCAGAAGCAGCAATGAAGTGCTAATTAGGTTATAACGATCCTTTGTCCCCACAACAAATTAAACTGAAATTCTCGAGAGTCTGGACTCTGGCCAGGCACAGGGAAAAGCGACGAGAAAAGAAGCTGGTGCCTTTTATATATTTATATATCCGCCCATTCCAGATCTTCTGCTGACAAATGAAAACACAGGGAGACTGCTCATCCGCCCCGCTGCTCCGCGCCAGGTCTCACTCCCCAGGGCTCCCTGTTCTTGGGAGTCCAGCAGCTCCCTAGTGAGGACATGATCAGGGGGGGCCTTGCAAAGGGGGACTCCTGCCTGAACTCGAACCCCACTGTTTTCAACATCTGTTCATTAAGGTCCTAGAATTCGAGGGTAGCAGGGGCTGAGATCCAACATCTCCAAACGCTGAGGGTTCAACACAAACCCCACCGGCTACTCTTGCTCCAAAAATAGCAGAAGACGAGATACCTCCAGGCCTGCCTGGAAGAACCAAGTGTCCGTGGCTTTGATTGGGAGCCGTGACCCACATTTGCTCCTTCAGGAGCTGGCTGCCCAGGGGTCCCAGATGGACTGGGATAGATGAGAAGACTGACTAAGCGCCTGCTCCCAGGTTTGGTCACAGAGACTCTGAAGTCCTAAGCAAACCCCTTTATGAAGGAGAAAAGAAGGGACATTATGACCACAATTTAATGCAAATAATGCTAACTTTATATGGTTTCTGCAAACTGCACAGCCTCCCCACGTGTTAGTTTCCTATGTGAGCCATGCGTGTTATGAGTGGGCATTATATGTGGAACACATGGTACTTT